ATTCTTATTCTTATTCTTATTCTTATTCTTATTCTTATTCTTATTCTTATTCTTATTCTTATTCTTATTCTTATTCTTATTCTTATTCTTATTCTTATTCTTATTCTTATTCTTATTCTTATTCTTATTCTTATTCTTATTCTTATTCTTATTCTTATTCTTATTCTTATTCTTATTCTTATTCTTATTCTTATTCTTATTCTTATTCTTATTCTTATTCTTATTCTTATTCTTATTCTTATTTAAATAAATATTTTTAATTTTATTTTTTTTAATCCTGATTTTTATTATTTTTAATTTCTTAACTTTATACTATTTTTAATTACTATTCATTCTAATTAAATTTAATATTTATATTGTTATTTTTCCTTTTATAAATAAATATTTTTGAATTTTAATTTATTTTCATATATTTTATGCAATCAATAGAACTGTTAAGTGAATTAAATCTTATTTTATTTTATTATATATTTTTATAGTATTAAAATTTCTCTTATTTTTTTATGTTTTTCTGATCTTTTACTTATTATTTACTTTTAATTCAAAATATTATTATTAATATAGTTTTTTTGTATACTTTGATTCTTAATTTTAAATTGATTGGTTTCTTTTATTATCTTTTTCAATTTATTAATATTTTATATTGTTTTATAATGTTATTTCTATATATAAATTATATTTATATTTTTGTAAAATAAATATATATAAATAAATACATATATATATATATATATATATTATATTTATATATATATATTTTTTATATATTTATTTATATTTTTTACAATTATCATTTTAATATTAAATATTTTTAAATTCTTTTTTTTTTTATTTATTTATTTTTTATTTAGTTTTCATATTTTTTTAATTATCTTTTAAATTGTTTTCATTATTATTGTCTATTATATTTAAAAAAGGATGATTTAAAACTTAACTAGCTTTTATTCTTTTTTATGGATTATACTCTAATAACTATTTAGTTAAATCAAGAAACAAATCAAACTATTATAATACTTTATTTTCATCTTTTTTTATTTATTTTTTTTAAAAAAAATCATTCTTATAAAAAATCAAATAAATTAAAAAATAATATATATTTCACCTTCAAGACTATATTATCTATTTTAAGAGTTTTTAATATAATTTTCAAGATCTCCTAAACATTAAATTTAAAAATAGTTTTTACTTTAATTTAATTAAACATTTTCATTTTCTTCGTATTCTTTTTTAGTTTTTAATCTATAAGTTTTTTCTTATTCTTAAAAAACGAAAAATTTATTACTAAATTTTCCTTATTAAATTAATTCATTATCAGGATATCTAATTATAAAAAAATAAATATAATAATTAAAAAATAGTTAATAATACCCTAAAATATCTATAATTCTTTTCATTTAATCATATTCAGAATTTCCAGGAAAAATAGGCAAACCTAAAAAAAGTTCTACTAAAATACAACCTAAAGACCACATATCAATAGCAATAGTATATTTTAATCCTAAAATAATTTCAGGAGCTCTATAAAATCTACTTTAAATATAGGAATAAATTTTATTTTAATCAGGGCAAGCAGAACCGAAATCAATAATCTTTATATCATTACTTATATAAATATTAATAATATGTATTTATAATGTTTTTATTTATATTATAAAAAAATACTTTTTAATCATAATATTTTCAGGTTTTAAATCACAATGAATAATTTGTTATTATTCAATAATAGCCATTCCTTCAGCTATTTATTTTATCCAAAAAGAAATTAGGTTAAACGAAAAACCACTAAACTTTGAATTTCTTAAAAAGTCATAAAGTGATAAATCCATCATTTCAAATACTAAACAAAAATGAGATCTAAAAACAAAAAAATCTATTAATTTTACTATTTTATTTCTTTAATTTTCAATCATTTATTCTTGCGTTTATTCGCATTCTTACTTATTTAAAACTCTTAATAATAATATTTCAGTTTTTGCTTAATGAAAATACGCAGGTTTGTTTTTTATAACTTTGATAGCATAATTTTCTTTTTATCCTTGAATTGAACATTTTACTACTTAACCAAATGTTCCTTTTCCTAGTAAATTATCTATAACATATTATCTATTATTTTTATTTTATATTTTTTGAAAAAAAAATATATAAAATAATATTTAATAAAGAAATTTATTTAATTTTATTTATTGTATTAATATATTTTTATATTTAATATATATAATTATATTAAATTTATTTTTATTTTACATATTTTTTTATTCATTATATATTATATCATTCACCCTCATTATATAGTCATATTGTTCATTATCATAATTATTATTATAAACACCTTTTTATATTATTATACATTTTTATATTAAAATTAAAAAATATTATTAATTTATATAAATATATATATATATATATTTTTTTTATATTTATATTTTATATAAAACTAAAGATTTTAAGGTTACCTTAATATGGAAAAGTTAAATATCTTTTCGGTATTTTCGCTTTATTAAAAACGAAATTTAAGTTACAATTTTTCATTGTCTAAATCAAATTTAAAGTGCATTTTTTAATTATCTATTTGATTTTTTAATGATATTTATTCAAAATATTTTAATTTTATATTTTTAATGAATTTTTACTTTATGAGCAGATTGTTTTAAATTATCTTCAATTATTTATTTATTTTGTTAATTTTTATTAAATAATTTAAAAGAACTTTATTAACTATTTATTTAATTTATCATTTTTATTACTAAATATTATTTTATTTTTTATATTTTTTTGGCTTTAAATAAATATATTTTATATTATTAGTATTTATTTTTTGAATTTTAAATTATTTTATATTTTGAATTTTTTTTAATCAGTACTAAAGTAAAATTAAATATTTTTATTTTAAAAAAAAAAAAAAATTCTTTATTGAAAAAAATAAATAACTATTTTTAAAAATATTATCTTATATTTTCACGATTAATTAATATAATATTTAAATTTAAATTTAAGTTAAGGAAAAAATAAAATATATATATTTATTAAAAATAATTTTAATATTATAATTTATTTAAATAACTTCTAAAAATCCAATATTAATAATTTATACATAATTATTTTTAAAATTCTCTATTTGAAATAATATAATGAAATTATATGTTACTTATAAATAATAAAAAAGAAAAATTTATTAACTTTTAATTTTTTTTAAAATTTTTTTTTAATTTATAACCATTAAAAATAACAAATTTAAGTCTATAAATAATTGCTTTTATAAATATATATTAATTTGTTTATTTGTTTATTTTTTTTTAATTAAATAGATTAAATTTTTCATTTATATAAATATGCAAAAAAAACTTAATTAATATAAAAATTAAATTATATATATACATATATTATAAAATAATTTTAAATTTTGTCAAATAATAACAAATTAAAAATAAAAAAAGTTGATATAAATTTAGTAGTTTGTGTATATTTCTTTATAATGAAATCATATTATAATAATTATATTCTTAAATTTATTTATTTTTTTAAAAATTACTCAATAAAATAATCTTTTAAAAAAAATAATATTAATAATATGAAAAGTTTATTGGTTATAAAAAAATTAATTAAAAAAGATTTTTTAAACTATTTCTTATATATATGTTATTTTTATTTAATATTTTTTTACAAATTTAATTAAAAATAAAAAATAAAAGACCATCATCTAATTTTTCTTTCCCTTTTTTTTTTATTTTATTGAGTAGTTTTTTAAAAAAAATTACAGAAAATATTTATGAACAAGTATTATATACTAAAATAAAAACTTTTTTAAATAATTATAAATAAATATTAATTTAGAGGGATAGATGAATATAATATCAAAAAAAATTTTAATATTATTTTTATTTTTTATTTTCATATTTTCCAAAAATTATATGTATGTCCTTTCATTTTATCTTTAATTTATTTATTTACTTTAAAATACTCATAAAATCCAAAAACTAAGCCTAAAGTAACTGCATTCCAATTTGCAATCAAAGGAATAGCTGCCTATATATTAATAAAAATATATTTAATAAACAATAATATATAAATATATATTATTAAGTTACCATATGAATATTCCAAAAATTATTAAATTTAAAAACTTTTTTTACAAATTTTATTGAGTAAGGATAAGAAATAGAAGAATTAACTAGCATTACAAAAATAGAAAACTAATTTTAAAATATTTATATATATATAAATATATATATATATATATATATATATATATATATTTAAATCTTTTTTATTTTTTTTAAAAAAAATACATAAAATCTAAAAAGATTTGATGTCCTTTCATATAAAATTCTATTTTTCTCATTTTAATCATAATCACTTTCAGAATAAAATTAATCTAATGAACTTATAATTCCTCCTTAAACCAAGCTTTCAAGTTTTTCTGTATAAAATTTTATATTGCTTATTTATTTATAAATAATTTTATTGAAAATTAAATACTTTTAACATCTTTTGTATATTCATCATCTTATAAACTATTGAATTTTAATTTATCTTCTTAATTTTAAAATCTTTTTTAAAAAAATCCTCCATTTGAAATATGATTTATTTTGGTTTTATTATAATAATAGACGAATAAAACAATATTTAATAATTATATATATAAAAATAATTTATATATTAGATATTTTTTTATTTTAATAAATTATATATTTTATTTAATATTTATATTAAATAAAAAAATAAATATTTTTAAGATTTTTTTTTTTTTTAGAAAAATTATATTTATTAAATAATATTTCATAACTTTAGTAATTTATTTTTATTTTTTATTTATATTATTTTTGTTAGTTGTAAAATATTTTTAAAAAGGATAATTTAAATTCTAAATGATTATTTTATTCTCAATTATATCAATTATATATAGAAGTTAAAGTAATATTTTAAATTATTAAACTAAATACTAATACTAAAAAATAATTTAAAGTTATCGAAAAATTTCAAAAATATTTTCATTTAAAAATTATAATTAAATATTGTATATTTGCTTTAAATAAACTATTTTATTATATTTAAGATGTAAACCAACTAATAGTTATTATTTATTAATTAGATATTGCAATATATTTAATTTATAATATAATAATAATAAATAAAAAAATAATAACCAAATTAATTGTATATATATACATATATAATTAACTTCCTGCTTAGGATATGTTTTATTTATAAAATCAATTATAAAATTAAAAGCAATTATATATAAATACCTTATATTATTTGAATTATAAATAATAAAGTAAATTAAATAATAATTTATATAAACTTGAATAAAAAAAAAGATATTATTGCACTAATAATTTAAAATTGGTATTACATTAATAATAAATATTTTAATTCTTGATTTAAAATTCCAAGCAAATTAGAATTTTTAAAAAGAATTTATAATTTTTTTTTAATATAATTAAATAATTTTAATTAATATAAATTTATTTTATATTTTCATTATATTAAAAATTATACAACCATTTTTTTTTAAATTATTCGAATACATTAGATAAAATTTACTGTCATTATTAGTGAATAATTTTGTTTTTTATATTTTTTTAAATATCTAAATTAAAAAAAAAAATGATAAATAAAAATAGAATATTCATAATAAATTATTAGAGCAAAATATTTTTTATAGTAAACTATAAAATTATTGAATATATAAAATAAAAAAATTAAATCAAATTAATTTTTTTTTTATTTTTTTAAGAAAAATATTAAAATCATTTAAAAAAATAAAGCATAATTTAATTTATTAAAATAAAAAATGTTTATATTAAATTCATTTTTGTTGTTTTTTTAGAAAATAATTTATTTTTATAAATAAATCTCCAGTATAAAATTGAATTCAAATAAGATTTATTAATTTTTTCATAAATTATAGCTTTTATAATTTCTATTGTTTGTACTTAAATTAGATTTGCTATTGATAATGTTCTATTCATTTTCTTAATTTTAAAAATTAAAAATTCTCATTAATTCGTTATGAGGTGTTGCACTAATTTGATTAAGTTACTATTATGCACTTATGTGTATATTTTATGTTTACTCTAGTCTTTTTAATAAATCTAATTCTTGTTTTTCTAATCTTTCTAAAATTAAAAGTTTTTCTTAATTTTCTTTTATATCAAAACCTTTTTTATTTATAATATTTTTAACAGCACTTTCAGTATGGATTTGCTTAAAGTTTTAAATGCCTTATCTTTATTTTTATTATTCTAAAATAATTTTATCATGTTTAATTTTTTTTTATAATAAACTATCTTTTTTTTCATTTATAATTTTTTGTGAATTTTCAATTTTTTATTATTTTTGTTAATTATGCTCTTACTTTTTTAAATCATTTAAGGCACTTTTTATCATTTATCTTTCTTCAATTTATTTTAATCGTATATCCTAACTTTTTCTTTAGATTAATTTTAAATAGTCAGATTCAATTTGTTTAAAACGAAATTTATTACTATACTTTACTATCAAATTTTATTTTAATTCAATCATTTTTTATGTTTTTTTATTTGTAGTTTCTATTTTCTAAAGTGTCTTTTTTTCTACATTTTCTAATAAATAAATTCGATTTTTTAATAAACTTATAGATTTTAAAGTTTAAAAATGGCTTTAAGTAAATTATTAAGACATATTAATAAAATAAATTTGTATTTTTTTATTATACAATGTATTTTATATATATGAAAACTGTTTTTATATATATAAAAACAGTTTTTATATTTATTATTTATGATAATAGTATAAAAATTTATTAAAATAAATAATTATTAATAATAAAAAAACAAAACTTTTTATATATATTTTCTTAAAAAATTGTTAAAGATTAATAAATAAAAATAATTTTTTTAAATATATTATTAATATAATAAATAATAAAATATATTTATATATTCAAATATAAAAAAAGTATTTGTAAATATAAATATATATATTATTATTTCTTTTTTTAATATTCCAAAAAAAAAAAAAAAAAAAAAAAAATATATCAAAACTTTTTTATATCAGAGTCTAATTACTTTAATTAGTTTCTTGTAGCAATTCTTCCACTTTTATTAATGAATTTTTCTTAAAATTCATCAACTTCCTCCATTTTTTAAGCAACTGATTCTTTAAATCCTTTATGCATTTTTTTATTTTTGAGAATAAAATTAAGACATTCGTCAACATTTTAATAATTTTAACCTAAAAACTTCAAACATTTACAAACTTTGACTGCATTTAGACAAATTTCACTATTAGGGTCATTAAATTTAAACGCATTTTTTTCCAAAAGCTCTATATCGAATTCTAAACTTTCAATTTAATTATAATAATTAGAAGAAATTCTTTTTTGAATTTTACTAATATCCATTCCCAATTCCACGAAATCATTATAACTTTTATATAATTTAGTATCTACTGGATCTACAAATTATCCACATTCTTTATTTTATTACTCAATATATGTATTTATTAAAACATTTAATTTCTTCTGTTCATTTTTATTTGCCAAAAATTTCTTTTGATATAAGCTATCATTATTTTATTGTATTATATCCCAATAAGAAGCCCTTATTACTGTAGAATTTCGACTTGAGTTTTCTTTTAAAATTATCTAAATTGTCTACCACTCAGAGTTTTTGAAATTCTCTTCTTTGCAACTTGACAAATTTATTATTGTCCCTTCTACAATTTCTTTAAAATAATACAATTGAACTGTTTATTAAATACTTAAGAAAGGCTTTTATTTATATATGCTTTTCGGAATTATAAAATTGGGATTCTATTACATTGTATTTGCATAATAGAAAACAAAAGATTACTAATTTTCTAGTATTTTGGCTTTTAAAAGCATTAATATAGGCCTTTCTTTGTACTTCTCAAGCATTTTTTTGGTATTATATATAGGAAATATATATTCTATATTCATAATTTTACATTAAGTAGGTTATAAGAGATTTTTATGATCAAGAAAAGGAAGGATATGGAAATTATTTCTATTAAAAATATTTTTTTTGAAATTATTATTATTAAAATTTTCGACATCTTCCTCTAAATTTTCTTTAAATGAAAAATTATTTTATACTTATAAATTTTCTTATTCCGCATTTTTTTCTTACAAGATTCCGGCCATTTTTTCATGCAAAACTTAAAAATCAAAACACTCAAAATATTTTTCGCAGAATTCTTCATGTCCTTAAAACATATAGAAGACTTCATCCCCAACTTAAGGTGCATATTCATATATATATATATAATCTTTATTTAAATAATCTCTCTAAAAGTGTTTTTTTTCTGATTCAACAATGTTTTGGCGTGAATAATTTTAGTTTGCAAAGCAATCAAAACACAAGAAGCGTTTCTCCTTTTAAATTCCTCTAAATTTAGCACATGTTTCTAAATGGAATTTCTTTAAGCAAACAGCACATTGCTTAAAATTTTCAAACTAAAAATCTTTTTCACACCTTTCGCATTTTTCATCTATTTAATTATTTAAAATTTCATTTGAATTAACTGAATCTTCGATACTTTTTAATTTCTTTCTTTCAAACTTTTTATTTTTCTCATTATTGTATTCTTAATAATGTCTTTTTTTTAAATATTTATTTTCCTCTAAATAATCTTCATCTGAATAAAAATCTTCTTCTTCTTCTTCTTCTTCTGAAGAAGAAGAAGAATAAATATTTTTTAATTTTTATTTTTATTATTTTTTGCTTCTTAATTTATTGACTTTATTGCCTTATTTTATATTGTTTTCATTATTTTCATAATAATATTAATTTTTCATTCTTCTTGTTAGTATTTTACCTTCTTCTTCCATATTATTATTTTCAATTTAATCGAAATTGTCAAATTCTTCTTCCTTTTAATAATAGCTTCTACTATTATTTCGATTATATTTTAAATTGTTGTTATTATTTGAAAATTTTCTTAATCTTTTTCTTCTTTGACTTCTTGTATTATTATTCTTTTCCTCTTCTTCTTCATTTTCTTCTATATTTTCATCTTCTACATCACTTTTTATTCTGTTTTTTTTTTTTTGATATAACATTTCTTCCTCTATTATATCTTCCTCTTATTCTTTTATTTCTTTATAATTAATTTCACTATCCATTTCTTCTTCCTCTTAATATTCTTCGTCATCTTCCTCGTAATCTCTTTTTTTTTATTATTATTAATTAAATACATTTCTTCTAATTCTATTATTGCTCAAATTTAAGTTAATATTGTTTAATTATTATTTACATTATTATTTAATCTAGGTCTCCCCCTTTTTTTTTTCTATTAAGATTAATCAGTATCTAGATTATTATTACAATTAATATTTACATTGCCATTATTAGTATTATTATTATTAATTAAGCGATTATTATTAACAAAGCAATTATAATTAGTTAAACCAATATTATTATTAACAATACTATTTCTAATAACTGCTTCATTCTTTTTCTATTCTTCAATTCCATCAGAGAAATCATCATCATCAATAATTCTTCTTTTTAAAGATTATTTTTCACAATATCTTATTAACTTTCCTCTTATAAATCTTAACTATTTTTTTCATAATTATTCTTCTCATATTTATTTTTTTCGTAATTTTTTTTTTCTTAATAAATTTTTTCTTAACTATTTTTTTCTTAAACAATATTTCCTATACATTATTATTAATTCCTTTTTTTCATTTCTTCAGCCATTTTTTTTAAAATTTCTAATCTTTCTTTAAAATCTACTCTTTAGCTTCCCTCCATTACATAATTTTCATTATCAAAGCAATCTCTAAGGCTTTTACACAAATTAAAAAAGTCCTAATTATTTTGAAAGCCCATATGTATTCCTTCCTAGACTTTCTCTGTATCAAAATAACCTTTATTCCTCAAATCCTTCAAGCAATTTTTATACTTAAAAGTATAGGGAATTCTTTAATAATTACATATGTTTCCCCTATTCATTAAATTAATTTCCCTCTCATCATCTACCCCCTATGGTACTAAATTATCATCAAAAATGAAAATCTCAGTATCGTTAGCAAAAAATTATTCAGTAGGTGAACACTTATAAAAATCTACCAATCCACATCCATAAATACTAAATGATCCAAAATAAGTGCTTATAACAAAAGAAAGTCCGTCCGGCGCCCAGGCTCCATCTAAAACAGGTACTTCTAAATTCGGATATCCAATATGATATCCTCTTTCTTAAAAAATATTTAAAATACATCCAAAAGCAACATCATAAATAATAATTTATCCTGCATAATCTGCTGTGAGTAGTATATTTTCATAAAAAGGGTGTGGTTCAAAAAATAAAATATGGTCCTATAATTTAACTGGTGTGTTTTTTTATGTAAATTCTTATGTTTATTTCTTCAATACAAAATCATAAATATAAACTACAGTTTCTACTTCTTTAGTTCTTTTGAACTTTCTTGTAAAAGTCGCAAAAGCATATCTATTTTTGCAACTAAAAGCAACATTCCAGCAGTTTTTTTCACATTTTTTTGTATCATCAAAATAAAGGTTTATTATATTATCGCTTAGCTTTTTATCATTTTCAATTAGACTTTTCCAAGGCCAGATTTTCGCAGTTCCATCAAAGGATGCAGTCATCATATATTCACCATTTTAAGAAAATTTTATTAATTAACAATTTTAGAAATGCTCTTTTTTTTCTATTATTGGTTAAATTACTCGATTTTTATTTTCCAAATTATGAATTTTGTCCCAAATTAAAATCTCTCCTTACTCTGTTCCTACTATTAAATATCCACTTGGATGGGTTTCTAAACAAACTGCTTCATTTTCCGATTATTATTAAAAAATTTATTCTTGAATATTTCTTCTTTTTCTCATACTTAAATTTATTATAGGAACTAAATTTGGATTCACACCTCCATTATTATCTTGAAATTGCTCTTCTTTGAATCTAAATAAAATATATAAATATAAAAATCTATATTTTAATATTACATTTAAAAATTTCCTTTGACACTCATAATAATTAGATATAATTTAGTATTACCAAATTCATTTTTATATTAATAAAAAGCTACAGCAATTAATTAATCTGTAGATTTAAAAGCAGATAAGCATTTTTAATTATAAATATCCCAAACTCTAGTTGTTTAATCAATAGAACATGTAACCAAATACTTATTACAAGGTGAAATATCGTTACTAATAATACTGTTTGTGTGCCCTTTTAGATTTGAAAGCAAAAGTCCGTTTTATGAGCTCCAAATTTTTATAAGTCCATCTTCATCGCCTGTAATTATAAGTTTCCCACTTTTATCATAGGTTACATTATATATAGGTATATAAGGTTCGCCACTTTCTTCATTTACTTATCCAGATTCAGCTGTGTAAGCATTCCCAAAACAGGTTTTTAAATGCTAAAATTTTAATGCAAACAATTCATTTTTGTGCGATTATTCATTTCTTTTTCGTTTTAATAAAAAATCGCGTCTTGATTATAATCCTTATTTTGGGTTTTCTAAATATTTACATAATTTTTATATTGGTGTTTCTTTTTTAAAAGAACTTTTAAGGAATGATTTATGTTAATGCTTCTCGTTTATAAATTACTAATATATTATTTATAAATTTTCAACCTTTAGAGATTTTTCGATTTTATTCTTTTATTAAAATATATATTCATCGTATGTATATGGATTCAATATTCTATTTATTGACAAAGTTTTTCCTAATAAATTTTTACTTTCGATTTAATCTTTCAATTTTTCAATGAGTTATTTATCCATATTTTTATCTTATAATAAAAACTATACTACTAGGAAATATAAATGGTTATTCTCATTTAATTCTTATTCTTATTAATTTTTATTTTTTTCAAAATTATATTGCATTTTTAATTGGTTTCTTTTTTTTGTTTTATTATTTTGTAAGTATATAGAAATTATAAAAAAGAATTTTTTTTTTTAATTTTATTAATTTATATTTTTAATTTTTTTCTTCTTTTTTAAAATACCTTTTATATTCTTATTAAAGTAATGGAAAGTTTAAAAAGAAAGTATTTTTTTTTATTTATTTTTTTCTTTTTAATATGTATATTTATTTATTAATTTTACTTTTATTGTTTCTATTTTATATTGAAAATTATTTAATTTTTTTTAAAAAAATAACATATATAGATAAATATATATTTTTATATATTTTTTTTTTTTTCAGTCTTAATTTAAAATATTCACCATTAAAAAATTGATAATTTCACAATTTTTTATATCTTAAATAAAAAAGTTAAATAAAAGATTCAGAATATTTTAACGGATTATTTTTTATCTATAAAAAAAAATATGAAAAAAAAAAAATCATTAATCATCCAAATAAGAAAAAATAAAAAATAAGAAGGATATAAAAATTAAAATATTTATGGTTTTGTCGTCATTAATATTTAAAAATTTTGTTCGTTATTCTATAGATTTTTATATTTTAGACATTATTTTTTATTTTATATTTTAACCTTCTTGAAATTCGTATTTAATAAAAATAATTATTTTGCGCCATTATTATTATTTTAAAAAATTTACCCACAAAAATATATATTAATTAAAGAAAATTAAAAAATTAAAAATAAATTAAATGTATTAAATACATATATATATATATATATATATATATATATATATAAAAATAAAATAATGCTATATATTAAAAAAAAAAAAATTATATTAAATTAATAAAAATGAAATATATTTTATATTAAATTTTAAAATTTAAATTAATTAATTTATTAATAAAATTTTAAAAGGATTCTAAAAAATTAATAATAATAATAAATAAAATAATTAATTAATTTAAAAAAATGTTTTTTTAAATATTTAATATTTTATTCAAACAAACATGTTTAATGCTTTATTTTTATTTAATGTATTTCAAAATAAAATATTAAATAATTTAAATAAATAAAAAAAATAAAAAATTAAACATATAATTTAAATTTCTAAATTTAAATTTAATATAAATTATAATTCATAATAAATTATTTTTGTTTAAAATATTTATAAATAATTAATTCTATTTATGTAAAAAATAAATGAATAAAAAAAAATATATTAAGTATAGAATTTTTGCTTTTTATGAAAACAATAATAAAAATAATAAAAGGAATAAATAAAAAAATATAATGAAAAGTTAATAATTTAATAATTTTATGAAAAATTAAACTTTTTGAAAATATATTTAATATTTAAAAATATAATATATTTATAAAAATACTTGAATTTTTTAAAAAAATTTATTATTAAATTATAAATAAATAAATTTAAGTATATATAAAAATAAGTAGTTGATTATATATATATATATATAAATATATATATATATATAAATATAAATATATATATATATATAATTTTATATTTTTATTTATATTTTTTTTTAACGTTAATACGATTATATAATGTATATTTTTATATATAATATATATAAATATATATTTTATTATTTTAAGATGATGATTTTTATTGATATCAAATTTAATATTTAATATTTTTTTATTTTTTTATTTTTTTCTTATATTTAATAATTTTTTAATTAAACATTTATATTATATTTCTAATAAAATAAAATATAATTTTTTTTATAATATCATAAATTTATAACTATATTAATAATTTTTTTTAACTCTAATAAATAATATATTAATAGAATTTTAGTATTTTAATCTATAGCTCTTTTTTACAGTTACTTTTTTTAAACTATAATATTTAACATTTGTAATTATTTTATATAATTTCGTCATTTATATCAATTATATTGTTTATTTTTAATAATTTAATTATTGGAAAGATAGTAAGTATTTATTTAATTTTGTTTTTTAAATTAGTTATGTTTTTTTTTATGACTAATATCTTTTTTACGATTTATTAGAAAACATTAAAAGAAAAATAATATTTACATTGAATTTTGTTTAGTTATTTTTTATCTATTAAATATTTTTATTGAAATATAAAAACTGTATTTAAACTTTTATAGTTGTAGATTTAATAAAAATATAATCAAATATATAAGAAGATTTTATATTTTTATTAAAATATATAAATTTTTATTCAAATAAAAAAATAGTAATTGTCTAATTATATAAAAGCACATCAGCCGTGAATTTTTTAGAGAATTAGAAAGGGTTGCATTAATTTAAAGGAAATTTCTGCCACATATAAACTACCAATTAAAGAAAAAAATAATTCTTATAATTATGATAATTATATTATGACTTTACTTAAATACCTAATGAAAATAAAACTATATATTGTTAGCATTTATAAATTGGAGAGTATTATAAATATTTTTATTTTTGCAACTTCTTAAATTTGATTTTTTTTAAATATCTATTTTAATCTTATTTTAGTTATAAAAAGGTGGTATTTTTCATATAAATAATATAATGTAAAAATAACTTATAAATTTTAATATTAATATTAAGAACAATGTTATATTGTTTCAAATATTTTTTATTTATTTAATAGTTAAATAAAATAAAAAAAATGTAAATTTTAGTTGTAAAATTTTCCTTTTTTGCAAATTTATTATTTATATATTATTATTATTATTTATTTTATTTTTGTTATAAAAGAAATTTTTTTTTCATTGTCTTCCATCAATAGATTCAGATCTACTTTTTCCATTTTCTTACTTCTTTTAAATACTAATAGCTGTATTTTCATTATTATTTTTTTTTTATACACTTCTAGATCCAGATCTAGATCTAGAATCAGATTTAGATTCTGATCTAGACTTAGATTTAGATTTAGATCTAGATTTCGAGCTAGAAGTAGAGGATGATCTTCTACTTTTACCTTTTTTTTATTTTATTCTATCTCTTCTATTAGACTCACTTCTAGAATAAGAAGAACTTCTGCTTCTTCTAGAGTGTTTATATCTTCTTTTTTTATCCCTACTATCTCTACTATTCGATCTTTTATACCCTCCTTTTCTATCTCCACTTCTGCTTCTACTTCTTCTATTATAACTATTTCTTCTATATCTATCACCATTATAAGCTTTTTTAATTAATAATTTATATTTATTATATATATTTAATTTTGTGTGTTTTTTGTTTACTTTTTCCTCTATAAATTCCTTATTTAGCATCTGGGCAATCCCTAGCAACATGTCCTTTTTCGGAACAATTGAAGCAAAGTCCACCTTTAATGAATTTTTCTTTATCAAACCTAAAAGGAGGTTCTCTTCTTGAGCTACTTTAATAATCTCTATCTCTATCATATCTTGAACTTCTATAATCATTTCTTCCATCTCTATATTTGTCCTCATATCTATATGAATTCTCATTACGACTTTTTTTTAGTGTATGTTCTACTAATAAATTACCACCAAGAATATCTGTGTTGTTTAATTTAGCTATCGCTTTTTCAGCGTTTTCAGGATATTTGTATGTAACTGTAGCATATCCTTCACGTTCATTTAGTTTACAACCATATAAGTCACCATATTTACTGAATAAATCTTCGATGTCACGACGACTGGTTTTACTAGAAAATTTAGCTATGTATAATTTAGTTAATGGATATGAAGAAGACATTTTTTTATTTTAATTTTTTGTTTTGTTTTTTAATTAATTTTTTTTTAATATATGCTTATTTATTTTATTTAATATTTCTTTGCTTTTGCTCTTTTTTTTTATTAAAGATTTTTTTTAAATTTAATTTATATTTTTTATTATTATTTATTTTAATATTTTCATTTAAAGTTAAACATTATTTTAATTGCAAGTTTTTGTATTTTAATAAAATAAAAAAAGATTATATTATTAAAAGAAAAAAAAAAACTATATATTTAAAATTTTAAATATATTTTATATATAATTTAAAACAAATTCAAAATATAATGCAAATAAAAGATTTTTATTTGTAAATTTTATATATAAGTTTATATAAATTTATAATAACATATTAAAATTAAAAATATATAACTATTATTTTTAATCTTATATGTTGCTATCAGGATTCTCAATTCTTTACTTACAAACCAGACCACCTATATATTAGTTTTGACGTTTTCCTTAATCTTTACAACATGTGTAGTAAAATTCTCCACAATTATATCCTCCTTATTTGAAGCAATTTTCTACACAATCATGATCAAATTAGTATATTTTCCTTTAATTATCCAAAGCTTACTAAGTTTTCTGAGCCTTTTCATTAATGAACTTCCATTAGAATTGTAAATAGTATAATCATTAGCAAGAAACAAAATATAAAAAACAAATAAAAAAATAATTATTAGCGAATACGTAATATTTTTATTCATTTTTTTAAAATTAAAATTTGTTTTTATAATTATTTACATTTATTTTTATAAATTCTCTAGTTATAAAATTATTAAAATTTATTTTATAAATCTTTTAGTTATATAAACATATTAATTAATTTTTATAAATATTTTAATTATATAAATATTTATATTAATTTTATATAAATTAGAAATATTTTGATTACAAAGTTTTAAATTTTTAATATTAAATTATATTTCAAATATTGATAATTTTTTTAATACATAAAGTATAAATCATATTTTTATATTTCATTAAATTATTCATAATTTATTATATTTATGTCAAATAATATATAGTTAATTAAATTTATTAAGAATTTTAAATTTGCAATAAATTTTTTCTATTAATTTATTTATTAATATATAGTTTTTTTTTTGCATTTTTTTCTAATATTATTAATTATCTATCTTTTATTAAAAAAAAATTATAATATAATAATTGAAAAACATAAATTTTAAATTAAAAAATTTTATATAAATATATATTTAATAATAGATTAATTTTATTCTATATTAAAAATTTCAATTTTCCCATTTAATATATTAATTTATATTTTTTATTATTATTTATTTTGATAATATAAGTAAAAAATTCTTTATTTACAAGTTTTTGTATTTTAGAAAAATAAAAAAAGAAAAAAAGATTATATTATTAAAATAAAAAAAAAATATATATATATTTAAAATTTTAAATATATTTTATATATAATTTAAAACAAATTCAAAATAAAATTTAAAAAAGATTTTTATTTGTAGTTTTATATAAAATTAATATAATTTTTTAATAACAAATTATAAATATATAACTTATTTTTTTCAACCTTATTTATAGCAATCAAAATCATCAAGTCTTTACTTACAATTCATAGCACCTAAATACGAATTTACACATTTTACTTAATTTGCACAACATGCGTAATAGTAATTTCCTCCGCAATTATATCCTCCTTATTTTACACAATTATTTACACAAGCATACTCATCTTTACTATATCTTCCATTAATTGCCCAAAGCTTACTAACTTTTCTGAGCTTTTTCATTAATGAATTTCCATTAGAATTGTAAATAGTATAATCATTTGCAAGAAACAAAATATAAAAGACAAATAAAAAAATAATTATTAGCGAATATATAATATTTTTATTCATATTTTAAAATTAAAATTTATTTTTATTAATATTTTACTATATTTATATAAATATTTATGTTTATTTTTTATATATTAGAAATATTTTGATTATAAATTTTTAATTTTCTTAATATTAACTTATACTTTAAATATTAATATATTTATTAATATATAAAGTATAAAAAACATTCTTATATTTTATTAAAATTATTCATAATTTATTATTTTTATATCAAATAAAATATAGTCAATTAAATTTATTAAGAATTTTAAATTTACAATCAACATTTTTTTTATAATTTGTATTACAATTTATTATTTAATATATAGTTTTTTTTTTCTTGCATTTTTTTTCTCATTAATCTTATAATATTATTTATTATCTATTTTTTATTAAAAATTTTTTAATATAAGTGGTTGAAACACAAAAATTTTTAATTAAAAAATTATATATAAATATATATTTAATATAATAAATTATTTTATTCTATATTAAAAATTTCTATATTCCCATTTTAATATAACAAAAGTGAATATTAATTTTTCTCTAATTTTTTTATCTCTATTTATTATAATAAAGATAAACATAAAAAATATTTTAATTTTTATATATTGTTTCTATTTTTTAACATTTTAAACAATTAATTAATTATTCATTAAATCGTATTCTTATATTATTATAAAAAAGATTAATTATATAGAATTTTTAATCAAAAATATATAATAAATAATATAAATAAAAACCAAATAAAAATGAATACAACAATACAAAATTTTAATTAAGAAGTAAAAAACTATAAAATTATTTAAATAAATAAATTTATATAATATTTTTAAATTATTTATTCGTCTTCAGTTCAATATGGAACAAACTTAGGATTAATTTCAAAAATAAAAATAATTAATTTAAATACTATAAGAAAAACTCTAAAAAAGCTAATAAGAAATTTAATATTGGTAAGTTTAATATCGAAGTTTAATACAAGAGAATTTTTTAAAACTATAATAATAAAATAATTAAATGAAAGTAAAATTAAAAAAATAATATATATGTATATTTATATATATATATATATATAAATAAAATAAAATAAAGAACTAACAAATAAGCTAATAAATAAATATAGACATAATTTAAAACATAAAAAAATAATCAAACTAATAATTACTTTAATAAAATAATTTTATGAGTAGTAAATCTCAAAATTAACAGATGAAATATAATAATTATAAATTAAATATAATTAAATATATTAATTATATTAATAAAATGCAACAAACCGAACTTTCTTATTTAACAACGAAGAAGAAATAGATATAAAGTAAGTAATAAAATCTCATTAATCATGTTCATAGTTTAAATAAAATAACAAAAATCTAAAATAAACAACAGAATAAATATTAATAGCATAAATAAATGAAAATTGTATAAAATTTAACAAAGAAAAAAGTAAAATGTTAAAAATAATAGAAAAATAAAAATTAAGGATTTTAGATAATGAAAGAATTATGTTATAAATGGAAGGAGATTTAGAAAATATAAGATAAAATAATAAATAATAAAAAAGTTAACGAAATAAAGAAATAAATAAATTTTCTTATACTAATAAAAATGAATAAAGCACTAATTTAGATTTGAAAGATAAAAGCTTTTTTAATTATTCTATTGTTAAAAATAATTAATTTTAATAATCATAAGAAAATAATAATCAAAGTAACTAAAAATAAGATTAGAATTAATATAAATAAAAATTACAGAATTCATTATAAAAAACTGTTAATAATTCTGTCAATAAAACCAACGTTTCTAATAATTCTTTAAACAATAGCATTGCCATTTATTAAAGATTTAAAAATAACATGGATTAATATTTATTTAATTAAAGTTGATATAAAAATAATAATAAAAATTAATAGTCACAATTAAATTTAAAAATTATTAATTTTTAAATAAAAATATACATAAATAATTATTTTTATATTATATATAATTATCGTTTATTTATTTATTTATTTATTTATATATTAATAATTTATAATAATAAATAATATAAATAATACTAAATAAATAAAAATACATAAATAAAAATTTTAATTAATAATTAATGTTACAATTCAACAATAAATAATAGTATATTTACTAAAATTATAAAAAATAAGAAATCTAATAAAATAGATTAAGGAGTTAAGCAAATTATAAAGATAAATAAATTTATTCTAAATACTAATAGAAATAGAATAGTATTTAAATTATTCCGAAAAATTTAGAATAACTTATATTTATTGTCAAATACCCTAATTCATCTTTATAATAAAATATTTCGTAAAAAAACAAATAAAATAATATTATATAACAAAATTATTTTATTAGTCAAAAAATTATATAATTTTATATTTTTTTTCAATTATAGTCTTAAAAAAATGTTAGATGAAGTTCCAGAATTATACTTAAATTTTCTTGAGTAATATTATTGTTAAAAAAAGAATATTGACTACTACTTTTTTCTTAAATAGGGAAAATTGCAAAATTTTAAATTTATGCCTAAAACTAATTTTATTTAATTTAAAGATTAAATTTTAGGTATATATAAATTTATATTAAATATGATATGTATTTTTATTAATTAAAAATTTAAGAATAAAGTAAATAAATTAAATAAGACTAAGACAATAATAATAATTAAATAAACTAATAATTTCAAACATCTAATTATTAATAAGAAATAAATTCAATATAAAAAAAATAATATAAATAAATCGAAAATTTTAATTAAGAAACATAATTAATAAGTTAATCGTATATTTAAAATCAATAATTTCTTACAAATAATATAAAATAGGATTAATTTTTTATTGATTAAAGTAGATAAAATAACTAACTGTAATTATATAATTAATTATTTTTATAAATTAAATTAAATTAAAGTTAATAAAATTAAAATTAACACGAAAGATTACTTTGTAACTCAAGAACTAAAAAATTTAAGTAAAAAAAAAAAATATAGTTAAAAAATATATTTATCCAAAAAAGTTAAAATACTAATCAAAAATTCAAATATGAGTTTTCTGGGATTATTGAAAACAATGAAGATGTTTTTAACTAATAAAAAAATACTTAAAAAAAATAGCTTAAAATTTTTAAATGAAATAATTAAATAATGAGAATTAAATTTTATAAAATAATAGACGTATCCCATAAGATAATTAAAATTAGCTCTCAAATATAAACATGTCTTAATATTTCTATAATAACTAATTTAATATTATATAATTTGATAATACTGAATGTAACTAATATTTTACAGGAATAAATAAAATGATAGAAAATCAAGAAAATATTAATAAAAACTTATTTACTTAAAATAAAAATTTATAAGATTAAATAGATAATAATAATACTAATAATAATATAAATATATTAAAACAGAGTTTGAATCCGAAATTACTAAACTAAGAACAAAATAATAATTTAGAATAAATTAAAAATATGTATATTGCCCCCAAAGTTGCAATAAATTAAAAAAATGATGATTATATATTAAATTAAAATAATAATTAAATTCCTTACAATTAATATGAAAATTTCGAATAGTTATTTTAAGAAGATAACTTAGAGTTGTCCTAAAATAAAGAAGAAAATTTAAATAATATTTTAGAAAAATAAAATTGTTAAAATTAAGAATTAAAATATTAGAATTTTAAAATGTAAAAATAAATGAATAATTCAAGATGAAAAATTTTATATGCAAAAGAATAAAAATAAAGGATAATATTATTAAAAAAGTCATTATTTTAAAATAAAAAATTTTATATCATTTTTATATATATGCTTTTTTATTATTTAAATAAATATATTTTGACTAAAAAAAGATATAATAAAAAAAACTATTTTTTTATTTTAATAATAGTTTTTATATTTATAACATAATAATCATTATTATTATTATTATAAATCCTATATATAAGCACGCTTTTATAAAACACATTAGCAAAATCCTAATTATAAGCATACATCTCCATCGCATTTGGTTAGGTCACCCTTACAGCACTAACAATTTTCAAAAGCAAGATTTTAAATTGCAAATTATTAATCTATTTATTCCATTTCTTCATTTTATTCATTAATATAATTTTCTTTGTCTTTTTGTTGTTTTTTTGCTATTTAATTACAAAATATACAATCATTTGTACCAAATATATGGTTCCCTGATACCAATGATTCTAAACAATATTTTTATTTTGACATATAATTTTTTTATAATATTATTTAATTAATATTGTTAATAAACAATTTTTTTTTTTTGTATTTTTATATAATAATAAAGATAAAGATTTTTTAAATAATAGTTTTTAATTAAATAATAAAAAAATTATATCTAATATATTTTTAAAATAAATTTTATTTATTTTTAAAAAAATTAACTAAACACTAAATTAATTTATTAATCAATAAATTTTTTTATAAAAATAAAAAGAATAAAAAAATAATCATTAATATTTTACTAAATGTTTTATTAAAATTTTATAATTATATAATATATATAAAAACACATGAATAAAAATTCAAATATCGTTATTCTAATTATATATTTATTAATTACTATTTATATTTTATTCTTGCTAATCTTTTTATTATTAAACTGGGTTAAGTATTTATTCATTTTACTAATTATTAATTAGATTTTGAATATTGTCATCTTAATTAATTTCTTAATTATTGCTAACTTATTAAAAGTTAATATTATCTTAAAAGTTTAATTAAATCTAACATAAAAAAATAAAAACTTATTTTTTTTTTTTTAATAAAATTACATAATTCTTTAGTTATAAAGCGTTTTGCACAATATTGTTATTATATTCATTATCATTATTATCGATTAATTTTTATAAATATAAGGCAGTCCATTAAAATTCTTATAAAAAGAACTCTTCATTAATTAGAATATTTTATATTTCTTATTAAAATTAAAATAATCCAAAAAGTTAACCTAATGCATTCAATATGAACTAATTATTATTATAATTTTTAAGTCTAAAAAAAAATCCTGCATTATTAAAAAATAAAAGAGTTCTTTCTTTCAAAAGGCCATCTTTTAAGCTAAATAAACCCTTTAAAAATTTAAAAACTTAATCCAAATTAAATTAATACTTTTATAAAAACATAATGTTTTATAATTATAAAAGCAATTAATTAGAAAATTCAGAATTAAACCAAGATAAATGTTAAGCAATTAATATAGGATCTTCAGAATATATACATATTTAAAAGTAAACTTTCTCAAAATATTACTAAAAGTTCTATATTATACATTGATCAACATTTAAATATTTTTATTCCTCAGTTTAAATATAAACAGGTGAGTAAATATTACTTTAAATCATGCCAGGTGGAACACTTTTTAAAGTAATATTAGTAATAATTTTTAACAGAAATTCCATATTTTTTATTAGAAGTAAGTCCTAATTAATCTTTTAAGAAAGCATTTTTTCTGCTTATTATTGAAAGAGTGAAATTAGATTTTTAATAATTCCATTACTTTGCATAAACTAAATTACTTGTATAGTTTATTAAGTAAAATGATATATAATTTTCAAATAATTATAAGCTTTATTAAAATAAACTTCCAAAGCTTTAAAAAAATTCATAAAATATGAAAAAAGAAATCTTGCTAAAGTAGATTTATAAATTTCATAAGAAATAATTTCAGGAATATTGACATTTGGATCTTTTAATTTTTTAAGGGTCTCAGTTTATAAAAAGTATTTATACTCAACATTTAAAATATTTTAAGTGGATTATATTATTATATTTGTAAATTTATTTTTCAACTCCAAGTTTTGGCAGCCAAATAAAAAGGTTAACAAAATCCACTAATTATCTAATAGGAAATTTGCAAATATAAAGCAAAAAGGAATATTTTGTTTTATTATTTGAGAATATTAATCAAATGATTCTAACATAAATTCATTATCATATATATTCGGATATACATTTCCAAATAAGTTTTTCGATAAAAACATAAAGGCTTATGTATATTGTTGATTATAATAAAAGCATATTGCGTCTTAGTCTTGTATAAGTTACTATTTTTTTTTATATGATTTTTATTTGATTTTATTTTACTTATTCTTCCTCTTCATAATTTTAATTATCATCAGTATATGTTTCAGAAGCCTTTATTAAATTATGTTTTTCTCTCATCCAATTAATATTTTAAATATCAGAGTATTGATAAGAAATATATTTATTGACATCATATTAAATAGGAAAATTATATAGGAATAAAAAATCTTTAACAAACTTAAAATAATCAAAATCATTAATAAGTTTGCATTTCAAATAGTTAAGATTTTCTTTTAAAATATTCTCTTTTAAATTTTATTCACTATTTTCTTATGTTTTAACTAAATGCTCCAAATCATGATTTATGTGAATTCTTCTTTCGTAAAATAGCAAATAAGCATTTTTACTCTATTTATATTTTATTTAAAAAAAATATTAAATAAATCAAAAAATTAAAAATTAACATTTTAAAATCCATAGTAATTATTATTATTATTATTTTGTTATCCTCCAAAACATTCTTCTTTTAATTTATTAATGTTAAATTCTGTTACTTATGTATCATTAAATTCATACCAATTTTTATCTTCTCTATTCATAATATATGAATAATAATGACCAGATTCTGCGGTCCCACTATGCACAAGAATACCTACTAAATCATATTGATAATAATTCGGGTCAACTTATTATTCTTCATTTTAGAATGCCCATTTAGATATATTTAAAGAAAGAGTAAATTCAAAATAATCATTTATTTTTTTCTTTTGCATTAATTAATAATCGAATTCAAATCTTTTTAAAGTAATAATAAGATTATTTGATAATTAATTGACATAAACTTTTTTTTAAGCTTTTAATTTTCTTCCATAATTTTCACAATAATATTTATTCGAGCCTTCTAAAGTATCTCCTTTTACAAATGCATCCATTGCTTATTCAATATTACTGCAGTTTTGTATATCCAAGCTTATAGTAAGAAACGGTTCGAATGTTTCTGCACAATAAGGATATTCGCTTTCTAATGAAATCAGTTAATTACATAAAGTGCCTCCTATTAATGTTTACAGCATTTATTTATTATTTGTATTTTTAAATTCATTATCTATTTTATCTGTTAATAAATGAAAAAATTCGTTCACATCTTACTAAACCAATACATTTATTGGCTCTCCGTCATAACCTTTTTTAAAATATATTATATATTTAGTTACTTTATTATATTTTTATACTTCGAATAGAACAAATAAAGTTAAATGGTTAGATATATTATTTAATAGACTCTTGCATGTAAATAAATAAATGTTTTAATTAATAAGATATATTTTGATCTAATTAATTAATATTTTATTCTTTTTGCTAGTCTTATTATTAATTGTTTTCAAGTATTAAAGGTTAATTAATAAAGAAATTTCTCAAATCTTTCATCATAAAAAATTATTATAAAAGACTATTTATATAGCAAGTACATCCGAAATTCTTTAAACCGACAAATCCGTGCTTTGGTTTATTATTTATATTTAAATCCTTTTATTCGTGTTATAATTATTGAGAATTATATTAAATACATTAAAGGAAATTAAAATAATTTTTATTAGAACTCCTACCTAATACTAACAAAAATTCAAAAACTTTTTATCTTGTATTTTTCTATTTACATTTTGGTAAATTTATATATGTTTCCATTTTTAATTAAAGTTTAGGAGAATAAAATAAGCAGTTATATAGATTTTCAATTATATTTTCTTATACTTCGGAAAGTTCAGGTTTCTTTTAAACTAAAATTTTAGCCAAACAAAATAAATTTGCTAAAACCTATTTTATTTTTATATTATAATATAAAAATTTGATTAAATATAGAAAATTACTTTGTCTTCAATATCACTATATCTATTTTCTATTAATTATCTTTGATTTATAAATTATATTACTTTCAAGTAAAATTATTCGGTAGATATTTAATAATTATTAGAAATCCATATTAAACTATCTTCTTAGTCATTTAAAATAAAGCAAACACTATTTAAAAACTCATTATAATTAGATTTTTATTAATCAGTACAAATATTTTCGAAATCCGTCAATAATAAACAAAAAATATAAGCAATACATTTTACTTCTTTATTTTATTTACAAATCTATACAATAGTATCTATAAAAAATTATGTTTCGAATCTTAAATTTTTATTAAAAGATTAAAATAAATGGAAATTAACTATTTAATTTAATTATTATGAATTTTAAAGAATTTAAAAATGTTAAATATTTAAAGAAAGTCCTGCTAAAATAAGATTTAGGCATTAAATTATAATATCATTGAATATTTCATCTTAAAGGAAAATTTAATTTGCTGAATAAAATTATATGATTCCAAATGCTTATTTAATTAAATTTTTAAAATCAACTTATTAGTGGAAATAGTTTTGTACTTATTTTTGATTTTTAAAAAAATCTATTAAATCAGAAAACTCATCAAATTAATTTTATGAAGTATCTTTTAGTTAGTGATTATTTTCTTAATTTTCATTTGATTATTTTTCATTTTCATTTGATTATTTTTCATTTTCATTATTTTGCTCTTCTTCTAATTTATTATTATTAGTACCTTTTTGTAAATTAGGATTATTTATTGGTCCAATTAAATATTAAACTTAATTATTTTCTAATTAATTTTCTTGATTATTCTCTACATTAGTTTATTTATTATCTTCTTCTTTTTATTTTTGAATATAACTATAAATATTTGTTTTGAAAATATTAGAGTCATCAATAGAAATAACATATGCAAAGATATAAATGTTAATAATTTCAAATATATACTTTAAAACTTTAAGTTACTAAATATCTGAAATTTGATTATTATTTAAAAAAACATCAGTTTTTACATTAATAAATTTTTCATATAAGTAATTAAACCCTTATTCTTAAACGAATTTTTCTCGCCAATTTTTTCTTTATTAAATTATTTTTTAATTGTTGTGGACATAGAATTTTTTACAACAAACTATTTGATTAATAATTTGTAATTTATATAAAAGCTTAAAATTATTTTATGTCTAAAAAAAATCATCAAATTTATTATTCTATATATTTATTTTTTTATTAATAAAATATAATTTTATATATTTACGTCATTATTTTCGTCACATAATAATTAAACTTTCTATTCTATTTTTTAATTAATAGGTAATTTGCTTATTAAACACCAAATGTCTTATTAAAGTTTTTTATCGTCTATATTTAAAATAGTGAATAAAAGTTCTAAATACTCTTCTGTATTAGAAATTATTTTCGAAAAATTTTATTTTTAATATTAATCAAGACTTGGGTTTTCATTTTGCATTTTCTATTATTGTTTTTCTTATAACTTAACTTAAAATTCTTATAAATCACAGTCTTAAAAATAATATTCTAAAGCTTCTTAAATATTATTATTTTTTTAGATTAATAATTCTTTAACTATATTTTAGCTAAACTAATAATTAGTAATTTACATAAATTCGTTTATATTATTTTCTAATTAATATTCGTTTATGTTTTGTTTTTCTTAATTATTATTAAAACTTTCTGAAATTTCTTCATCGAGATCATTATTTTTATTATGTAATTTTACTGTGTTATCATCTTATAGTTATAAATCTTTCAGTTTTTTTGTTAAATCTTGAGTTTATATATATATTCCTTTCACATAAATATCAATACTCTCAGGGTTTTATACAGGATTTATTTAATCTATTTAAAAATAAATACAAAATAATAATAATGTTTACTTGCTATCATTTCAATTAATTCTTTAAAATTTTTATTATTATTAACCGTAATTTGGAATTTTTTTTAAGTATAAGTATTCCTTAAATTATTTTCAATTTAAAGATTGATATTTTTTCCTTAATTTTTCTATTGTTTTTATAAGGTTTTATCTAATTAATCAATTAACTTATTGATTAAATCTAGACATCTACTAATTCCTACAAATACTTAATTATCATTATTATTTTTAAGATATAATTCATAAAAATTCTTCATATAATCCATTAGATTCTATACATATAATAGTTTTAAGTTTTCTAAAGTTTAAACATTCTAACTTTAAAATTAAATAATTTCAATTAAAGTATTTCTTGCTTTTTTTGAAATAGAATCCTAAGGATTGAATAAATAGATTTCCCAAATTTTCTAAAGGCCATAAATTTATTCAGAAATTAAATTTTTATTTTAAAAAACATTGATTCTATTATTTATTACAAAAAAATATTTGTAAAAGCAATCATAAATAAAATCAGTACAATATTAGGCATTATTATAACTTAATAAAATATCATTAAATATATATTAAAGGCAATTATAATTTATAAGAAAATTATTGTCAACTATTTTTAATAAATACTTAAAAAATATTTCCATTTCCCAACTCTCATTTGTATTAAAACAAAAAATTTCAAATAAATCTTTTATTTATTGCTAACTAAAACTTTTTTAATTAGAAACTAATATTTCATATATTAAAATAAGTCTTTTTTCACACAAATCCTAATTTTTTCGATTTTCTTATATTATGTTTCCTTGCCGAATTTCATTCATAAAATTTTATAGACTTACAATAATTAAATTTGTTAATCCATATTATTGATCTAACATTTCCATAAAATTTAATTTATTTTAGTATAATATTTTTCTTTCATCATCATATATAGGAAAATAACTATTTGATATATATTACAAAATATCTAAGCATTCATCAAACATTTAATTATTTAATATTTAATTTAAACATTTTTATATTATATTCTGTTAGTTTTTATTGTTAATTTATAAAAATATATATAAAAAAATACATTTTTTAAAGGCTAGAAATTATTTACACTAATTTCTTTTATTGCTTATGTTGATTTTTATATAAATTCTTTCTATTTATTATTCATTTAATTAAAAGATTACTAAGTAATTTCCCATAAATATTCAAATATTTAAATTCCTAAATCTTCTACCTAATAGCCATCATTTTATAATGATTAATTATTGTTATTTTAATTATTTAAATCCCCAAAATACGGTAGAGCGATAACAATATTAGGTTAAACATTTTACCACTCCTCCTAAAATATTAATAATACATAATTTTTTATATAAAAAAATTACAGTAATTTTATTATTAATTTCTTATTAATTTTTATTAATAATTTATTAATTAATATCTTTAAATTATAAATCATTTTAAATTCTTTCTTTTTCGTCATCAATATCAACTAAAAAGAAAAAAAAAAAAAAAATAGATAAAATTATACTAAAAAAAATATATAAAAAAAAAAAACTTTACTTTTAGCTTCATTAGAATCCAATTGGTCGTTGTTATTATTATTATTTTTAATTTAATTATTTTAATTTTAAAAATTATTTTCATAGTCATTTTATACGTTGCTTTTATTATCTAACATATAAAAGTTATTATTACTAAAGCTATTATTTAAAATCTAATTTTCTTACACTTAATTATTAGTTTACTCAACATTATTTTAAATTTCTTTTTTTATTAATAATTTAGGGTTTTGACACATATATTTTATCAAATTAATACAAGTAGAATGGTTTTCATTATTGTGAATTTCCTAAACTTTATTAAATATAAATTATAAATCATTAATATCTAAAATTTAAACAAGGTTTTGGACTACTTCATAAACATTATTTTGAATACTTTAATGCTTTCCATTACCAAAATTAAAAATCATTTCTAGTCTATCATTTTATAATGCTTCGTTTTAATACATATATTTAAGAATAGGAATACTTCTTTTCATAATCTCATGATGAGAATCGTCATTAAAAATATTAAGAAATATATTTTTTTATTCAATCCAGTTTAATAAATAAGTATTCAGTTATTCTTAATTTAAATTTTGTATTTGTTAAATTTTATTTACTATAAATTATAATCCTGTCATTACTAAATTCAAAGATTAGCTTTCAAAAAAAACAAAACTAATTTCTAATTCTAAATTATTTGTATATTTAAAAAAATCTATACTGGAAAATTAAAATATATAATTTAATGTGTCAATGAATTCTTTTAAATTAAATTAATTTAATATTTTATTACTGTTTTCCTTAAGCTATTTAGGAATTTTATTTATATTTTATATTATTTCATTTATTAATTTTTTATAATCGTCATTTTATAATCTATTTACAAATTGTTTTGATATATTTAAAATTTATAATGTTTAATATATATTATTTTCTTCCAATAATTAATATATTTTTTCTAATATTTTGCTTTCTATTACATCATATATAAACATGTCATAAATTAAATATGTTGGCGTTTGTTAGTTTTAAAATTCAACAAGAAAATTTTTCTATTTTCCTGTTTAATGTTCTAAGTAATTCTTTTTAAATTTATAATTTATTTAAATGTATATAAATATTTTATACTTTTAAATCCATAATAACTATTTATGAAAAATATATTTTTTGTTAAGAGTCTAACATTAACATTATTAAATTATATATTTTCTCAAATTATCCATATAATTTTATACACATTTGCATACAAGATTATAAAAAAATATATGATGCTGAATAATATTATTAATCTTATTAATTATTAAATCTTTTTATATATATATATATATATATATTTTTAAATAAAATTAATAAATATAATAATCAAAAAATAAAAAAAATTA